GACTGCAGCATAATTAGGTTGGCTACCGTTTGAAATAGGCTTCACATCAGGAATTAGAACATGTGATGCCTTAAAATGTGCCCTACTGCACACACACACACACACACACACACACACACACACACAAACATACACATACACACAACTATTCCAGGAGCATCTACAATATCATCTAGAAACAATTCATATTATGAACAAATTTAAACTACCTAACACTTTTAAAATAAACAATTCAATGTACTGTCTAGAAAAGCTTGCTTGACAGTCTAAACAGAATCTAAGCTGTAAAAATGTCTCATTCATACAAACTTAATAGAAGGTACAGTAACAAAAGCAACCTTTTCAACCACATAGATCAAAGAGGATGGAAAATATTAAGGAAAAACGAAATGATGTGATTAAGACTGTAAGTGGATTTATAAATGGGGATAAAAATAACAATTAAAAAGCTGTAGAAATGACCTTTTTATTAACGTCTGGCTGTGTTTGCTGAAGCAGATGGGAGTATTGGTGGATGTTCTCAGTCTGTAATATTGATGGAAAAATGTAGGACTTATTCATTTGAGTCTGAGTTCAGCTGGGGTTTGCATACGACACTCAATCTTTCACTAAGAGGAAGAGAGAGTGAAAAAACTACAGGAAAGAGTGAGAGTTGCCTTTGCGGAAAGATGTATTATATATGAAATATTATATAATAGAAGCTGTAATATAATATATTATGTAACATACATACAGTATATATCTATATAGTATCTCAGCATGCTTTCAAGTCAAACAATGATTTATTTGATTGAATATGCAATCAAATCTGCAGCTGCACACACAAAAAGCATGACGCCTCATCTGTCATAAATTCATATACTGTATTTGTATCCCTCCCTAAAGAGAGTATGATTGAGAGGTGTCGAATGTGTCATCCTCTTTCTCAGCGATCAGCAAATGCACTTTCAGTGGTGATTTTCTTTAGGAATATAATGTAAATGTTAAAAAAAGAACAGTTATGCTGATGTGATATAAACATATGACTGAAAAAATTACTTTTTATTTTTACTTTATTGCTCATAAATGTAACTTTGTTGAACACTGGAGTTTATATTGGGCTCGATTTGTGATGTTCTGGTCTAATCTTGTCTGTGTGTTTCTTGAATATTTCATATCTTTTAATATCACACACAGATGAAAGTCAAATGTGTAATGCAAAACTCTTGTGTGTTTTATAAATTCAGTTCCCCGGTTGGTTTGTTGATCAGATGTTACGATACCAGCAGCCTAAATGCTTTTTAAAGAATGAATGAGTTTTAAAATGAGTATTCGTGTAGTGCTGTGGTATTGGAGACACACAAATCATGTTCTGGAATGACCTTTGAGAGATTCATGGCAGAATAGAGCTATGCTTTGCAAACATTTTCCATGGCAACCAATATTTCAGCCAAAGTACCATAGTTACTCATAGTTACTAATGTTGCATAAAATCTGTAGCAAATGAAACTTTCAAGAGGTTGCACAGTACTGTGCTGATTTTCTAAATCAATGAGCTCAAATGAGCCTTTTTGTCATTGTTTCCACTGTGCATTACATAATTTTGTTGATCTTAAAGGGGTAGTTCACCTAAAACAGTGTGTTTTTTTTGTCCACACAATTGAAGTCAATGGGGTCCAAGTGAAATGGGTTGTTTTTAACAACATTCTCTTGAAATATTCATCAAAATATCATCTTTTGTATTCTGCAGAAGAAGATCCGCCACAAGATAAAAAAAATAATAAAAAAGGTACAGTAATTATGATTAATTTTTCTCAAAATTATGAGAAAAAAAGTCAGAATTCTGAGATTTAGACTTATTCATTTGAGTCTGAGTTCAGCTGGGGTTTGCATACGACACTCAATCTTTCACTAAGAGGAAGAGAGAGTGAAAAAACTACAGGAAAGAGTGAGAGTTGCCTTTGCGGAAAGATGTATTATATATGAAATATTATATAATAGAAGCTGTAATATAATATATTATGTAACATACATACAGTATATATCTATATAGTATCTCAGCATGCTTTCAAGTCAAACAATGATTTATTTGATTGAATATGCAATCAAATCTGCAGCTGCACACACAAAAAGCATGACGCCTCATCTGTCATAAATTCATATACTGTATTTGTATCCCTCCCTAAAGAGAGTATGATTGAGAGGTGTCGAATGTGTCATCCTCTTTCTCAGCGATCAGCAAATGCACTTTCAGTGGTGATTTTCTTTAGGAATATAATGTAAATGTTAAAAAAAGAACAGTTATGCTGATGTGATATAAACATATGACTGAAAAAATTACTTTTTATTTTTACTTTATTGCTCATAAATGTAACTTTGTTGAACACTGGAGTTTATATTGGGCTCGATTTGTGATGTTCTGGTCTAATCTTGTCTGTGTGTTTCTTGAATATTTCATATCTTTTAATATCACACACAGATGAAAGTCAAATGTGTAATGCAAAACTCTTGTGTGTTTTATAAATTCAGTTCCCCGGTTGGTTTGTTGATCAGATGTTACGATACCAGCAGCCTAAATGCTTTTTAAAGAATGAATGAGTTTTAAAATGAGTATTCGTGTAGTGCTGTGGTATTGGAGACACACAAATCATGTTCTGGAATGACCTTTGAGAGATTCATGGCAGAATAGAGCTATGCTTTGCAAACATTTTCCATGGCAACCAATATTTCAGCCAAAGTACCATAGTTACTCATAGTTACTAATGTTGCATAAAATCTGTAGCAAATGAAACTTTCAAGAGGTTGCACAGTACTGTGCTGATTTTCTAAATCAATGAGCTCAAATGAGCCTTTTTGTCATTGTTTCCACTATGCATTACATCATTTTGTTGATCTTAAAGGGGTAGTTCACCTAAAACAGTGTGTTTTTTTTGTCCACACAATTGAAGTCAATGGGGTCCATGTGAAATGGGTTGTTTTTAACAACATTCTCTTGAAATATTCATCAAAATATCATCTTTTGTATTCTGCAGAAGAAGATCCGCCACAAGATAAAAAAAATAATAAAAAAGGTACAGTAATTATGATTAATTTTTCTCAAAATTATGAGAAAAAAAGTCAGAATTCTGAGATTTTAAACTTGCAATTTTGAGACAAAAAGTCAAAATTGTGAGATAAAAAGACATAATTATCTTTATTTTTTTACTCCATGGCAGAAAAAAAAACAAGAATTGCCAAATATAAACTCAGAATACTGAAAAAAAGTCAGAATCGAGAGATGTAAACTCAGAATTCTGAGGGGGAAAAAAAATAGAATTTCGAGATATTAAATCAGAATTGAGAAAAAAAGTCAAAATCGCAAGATATATACTCAGAATTTGGAGGAAAAAAGTCAAAATCGAGAGTTATAAACTAAAAATTTTGAGAAAAAAAGTCAAAATCGCAAGATGTAAACCTGTAATTTAGTTTATACAGGTGCATCTCAATAAATTAGAATGTCGTGGAAAAGTTCATTTATTTCAGTAATTCAACTCAAATTGTGAAACTCGTGTATTAAATAAATTCAATGCACACAGACTGAAGTAGTTTAAGTCTTTGGTTCTTTTAATTGTGATGATTTTGGCTCACATTTAACAAAAACCCACCAACTCACTATCTCAACAAATTAGAATACTCCATAAGACCAATAAAAAAAAATTATTTAGCAAACAAACATGCAAATTTGTAAAACTTTGTGTGGGATGGCCGTTTGAATTCTGTGTACATCTGTGGGCACATATTCTGTGCAGGCCTGCTTATTAGGTTCATTCTGACGCAATCCTTCCAGTTCCTAACTCATGAAGAATATAGCTTCATGTGCATTTACAGCTGTTGGAAACAGGTATGGTATTGTCCTTGGAGGGATCTGAAAAGCATCCATGCTCACAAAGCAGACCTAAATATTTCCTTTCCCTTAATTTTACAAGATTTACTCATGTTTAGAGCTGCTAAACTCTCTGGCACTAGACTCATAATTGGATCAGTGCTTTCTTTAATAATCTCCAATTATGTGAGCAGGCTGTCTAGCAGGCCTTGTTTCAGATGACTAGAGCCCATGGGAGAAAAGGGCAGAGCTCTGATTCATGTGCGCTGCTATTATTGCCACTGCCTCTCTGGAGACCGCCAGCCGAGGCTCAAATATGCAGTTTCGCCTTCTTTTAATCTTAAACCCAAATTCACACTCTTGACTCCTAAGACTATGATGGTATACACAGTAGAGTACAGACGATTGAGCTAGCAGGTGTAATTTATTTTGAGGATTTTCAGTTGGGAAAATCTTGCCTCTTTCTTTGGAAGCAACTTTTATTTGGTTGTACAGTATGTGTTTGTTGATGTGTTTTGCCTTGGACTGTGGAATGTGTTATCTTGCCTTCAACGTCTGGAATCTGTCTCCAGGATTTCCTCTGGGAAGTGGCATTTCTTATTTTTTCTTATCCCAGCACACTTCATTGATGTTGACCGATAAGTTCATTCGAAGGTATCAAAGTATATGTCCTTTTTATATGTCACCACCATCCCATGCCATAGCCTTGAACTAATGGATGAGGAACTTTTGTTCTGTTTGCATAAAATTGGAGCCCGTTTTTTTTTTTTAGGAAGTGAATGTCTTGAAATGTGTTTTAATGGTTACTCATTATTGCTAATAGCATACTTCAGTTCCTTTTTTTCCTCCCATGTGGGAGTATACCAGCCATGACTGGCAGGTTTAATATGAAGACAGGCAAGTGCTCTCATATCCTATGTGGAACTAACCTACGGAACATCTGGGTAGGTTTTTCCACCCAGAGGAACAGCCTTTTTGAAACACTTGAATCAGCTGTGAATTCCACTGAAAAAATGATTTGATAGGTGAAAGAATGTGTATTTTTAGTATCTCTGTGACTCCTCATGTACTGTTGTTGTTGTTTTTTTGGCCATGCATACTGACCCAAGTTTCCCTTTAAAATTTAGACTGGGACAGGGAGAAACTCCTGGAAGCTTGGATGTCTAATGCTGAAAACTGCTGTCAGCGCTCAGGTGTTCAGATGCCAACTCCTCCGCCCAGAGGCTACAACACCTGGGACACCCTGCCCTCACCCCGTACGCCTCGCACCACACGCTCATCTATCACCTCCCCGGACGAGATCAGCCTGACCCCTGCTGATGATGATCACTCCTTGGTGAGGGATCAGATTTGTTCCTCTATTAGTGATTGGTGTACGGCCTCTTCTGTGGAGGTGATGTACAATAGTTAGTTTTAATGTAATGAATTTTAATGCATAGGTAGATCAATTGTGGTGGTGTAGCCATGGGGTTAGATCTGGGTTACTGAAATGTTGTAGGTTCAAATCCCATTAATGGGATAAGAATACCAAACATGAATGTTTCTGTTCAAAATCTTGTTACACGGTGCATATCTATGAATCTATATTCACACCAAGGTTGAACTTTCACCTGCAGATAAACCTAAATATTTTTTTGCATATGAAAATGTTGCTCTATGAACATTCTTTCTCCATATTTTTCATTTGCATTTGCAAAAAAGTTTTTCTCTTAAATAAAAACAAGGGCTGCTACAAAATGAAAATGAAAAAAAAAAAAGGAGCGGATATTAGAAAACACTCAAAACAGTTCAACAGTTTGTTTGGTCTGTACTCATAGTAAAATATATTTGCATGTATAATAAACCTGAAAAAAGTACATTTCTAAAATGTGTTCTTTACTTACTTTAGTTTAGTACTTTACTTTAGTTACTACTTTACAGGTGCATCTCAATAAATTAGAATGTCGTGGAAAAGTTCCTTTATTTCAGTAATTCAACTCAAATTGTGAAACTTGTGTATTAAATAAATTCAATGCACACAGATTGAAGTAGTTTAAGTCTTTGGTTCTTTTAATTGTGGTGATTTTGGCTCACATTTAACAAAAACTCACCAATTCACTATCTCAACAAATTAGAATATGGTGACATGCCAATCAGCTAATCAACTCAAAACACCTGCAACGGTTTCCTGAGCCTTCAAAATGGTCTCTCAGTTTGGTTCACTAGGCTATACAATCATGGGGAAGACTGCTGATCTGACAGTTGTCCAGAAGACAATCATTGACACCCTTCACAAGGAGGGTAAGCCACAAACATTCATTGTCAAAGAAGCTGGCTGTTCACAGAGTGCTGTATCCAAGCATGTTAACAGAAAGTTGAGTGGAAGGAAAAAGTGTGGAAGAAAAAGATGCACAACCAACCGAGAGAACCGCAGCCTTATGAGGATTGTCAAGCAAAATCGATTCAAGAATTTGAGTGAACTTCACAAGGAATGGACTGAGGCTGGGGTCAAGGCATCAAGAGCCACCACACACAGACGTGTCAAGGAATTTGGCTGCAGTTGTCGTATTCCTCTTGTTAAGCCACTCCTGAACCACAGACAACGTCAGAGGCGTCTTACCTGGGCTAAGGAGAAGAAGAACTGGACTGTTGCCCAGTGGTCCAAAGTCCTCTTTTCAGATGAGAGCAAGTTTTGTATTTCATTTGGAAACCAAGGTCCTAGAGTCTGGAGGAAGGGTGGAGAAGCTCATAGCCCAAGTTGCTTGAAGTCCAGTGTTAAGTTTCCACAGTCTGTGATGATTTGGGGTGCAATGTCATCTGCTGGTGTTGGTCCATTGTGTTTTTTTAAAACCAACGTCACTGCACCCGTTTACCAATAAATTTTGGAGCACTTCATGCTTCCTTCTGCTGACCAGCTTTTTGAAGATGCTGATTTCATTTTCCAGCAGGATTTGGCACCTGCCCACACTGCCAAAAGCACCAAAAGTTGGTTAAATGACCATGGTGTTGGTGTGCTTGACTGGCCAGCAAACTCACCAGACCTGAACCCCATAGAGAATCTATGGGGTATTGTCAAGAGGAACATGAGAAACAAGAGACCAAAAAATGTAGATGAGCTGAAGGCCACTGTCAAAGGAACCTGGGCTTCCATACCACCTCAGTAGTGCCACAAACTGATCACCTCCATGCCATGCCGAATTGAGGCAGTAATTAAAGCAAATGGAGCCCCTACCAAGTATTGAGTACATGTACAGTAAATTAACATACTTTCCAGAAGGCCAACAATTCACTAAAAAAATTGTTTTTATTGGTCTTATGAAGTATTCTAATTTGTTGAGATAGTGAATTGGTGGGTTTTTGTTAAATGTGAGCCAAAATCATCACAATTAAAAGAACCAAAGACTTAAACTACTTCAGTCTGTGTGCATTGAATTTATTTAATACACGAGTTTCACAATTTGAGTTGAATTACTAAAATAAATGAACTTTTCCACGACATTCTAATTTATTGAGATGCACCTGTATATCGTAATTCTGACTTTTTCTCAGAATTACAAGTTTATATGTTGTGATTCTAAGTTTATATCTTGCAATTCTGACTTTTTCGCAGAGTTTACATCTCAGAATTTCGAGAAAAAAATTCTGAATTGTAAAATAATTACCTTTTTTTTTTTTTTTCATACATATGTGTCTGGAATGACATAGGAAGTCTATACTTTGTTTATAAAAATCTTATTTATTCATGCTTGATTTTTAAACTCTGCAGTTTGACGGTTTACCCACAATGCCATCTGTTTCTCGTCATCTAGGTAACAGGCTTTTGTTCAAATCTGAAGCATGACATGCAAAATTTACTATGAAGTTCTTATGCTCACTTCCATTCTCTGCATCTGTTATTGCTTTTGTTGAGCATTCGCTCATAATGCACTGTCTGAAATGTGTTTTTCAGAGGAACGGTGAGCTTTGAAGCTCTGTGAGTTTGCTGTCTGATGAAATGAAGGAGTTTATCTTTGTCTGTAATGATGTTCATGTTTTGAGAGCGTGGAGTTGATGCTGACAGACGTTTTTGTTGTCACAAATAATGAGGACGGAAAGCAGCCCTCTGTCACTGCGTCTTCTGTGTGTGTGTGTTGTATACACTGTATCTGGTCCCAGTTTAAAACCACAGTTACTAAATTACACTGCGCAGACCTTTCCAAAACATACATGTGTTATGTATACAGAGACATAGAGAGAGTCCGTTTTAATAGCTCCAGTGTCACTGTTTGCGTTTATCAGCCTCTATAATATCATTCATGAAATGCAAGCAGAACACATTTCTGTGTGAAACATTCATAAAAACTATTTGCATGTAAGTTTTAAATTCAACGCAACAGTTAATGTTCATCGTTTTTATGAATGATGAACGAGGCCCTGCACTGGCATCACATAGCCAAACCCAGAACAGGGTTATTATAGTTAAATAAACCATAAAAAATTTTAATAAAATAAAAATAAATAAATAAATAAAAAAGTTACCTAAAATAAAAAAACACATTAACTGAAATTTAAAATAAATAAATAAAAGTGTTTTGTTTCAACTAGTTGCTAGGAAAAAATTTTATTTTGTTTGACTTAACATACTTAAATAACTAAAAAATAAAACTGAATAAAAATAAATAAAAAAAGTATATCAACATATTAAAAAAAATAATAATTATAAAAAGACAAAAATACACAACAAATTACCTAAACTAAACTAAAATTTCAATGAAAAGTAAAATATAGAAAATCTAAATATTAATAAAAACTATTATATATATATATACACACCTGTATAATGTTTAATTGTTTATTTACTATAATATTAGTGATATTGTATAATTAAAATATATATTATACAATTCAATTTATATATATACACACACACATATACATAATTATTTATTTTAAAATTATAATGAATATTATATGAATTAATTTTGCATGGTATGATTATTATTATTAATTAAATTGTACCTATTTTAAAATATCTATACATTTCTTGTTTTAAATGTCCATTAGTATTTTATGGTTCGGTTTAGTCTATAATAATTATAATAAGCTTATTTAACAACAATAGAAGTCAGAAGGGAAGTAAACGTGTGTGTCAGACAGAGTCCAGCTGAGCTTTAGTCGTGTGTGTGTGTGTGTCATGTGTATGATGGATGAGTGTTCACATGAGTGTTCATTAGAGCAAACACAGCTATTGTCTGTATTTAAATGAGCATGTGTTGGGCTGATATTGAACAAACACACACACACACACACACATATATGTGGCTCAGTCTGGTTACTCCTGATAGCTTTGAAGTGGTGGCTGCTCTTGGCGGTGTGTGTCCTCATGCTGGGTCAGTAATTAAACGTGATGTTTATCATAGTGTGCAGTGTAAATGATGAGTCTGGAGACGAGTGATAAACACTGTTGATTATAAGAGCTCATCCACGCTGCATTGCCTCTCCTTGACTTTGTGTCTAATACACTCTCTCACACACACACACAGGAAGTGGATTGCTGGAGTGCTGATGGAGTGCCGTGTGTCATTTATGTTTGATCTATGATCGCATTAATTACCTCTGCTCTTATTAAAGAATATTCTGGGTTATTTTTTGATGTAATGTTTATGGACAGCATCTGTGGCTTGCTCTCAAGTCTGACAGACATGGATTTTGACTTGTCCTTATGCTTGTATAAACTTACAATGGAAGTCGAGCAGGGATAGGAGCAACACTGCAAATAAACATAGGGCTGTTTGTTGTGGTACTTTCTGTAAGAGTAAAGAAAATATTTGTAAATAATTATTGTAATGTAATGAATGTTAATTCATCTGATTATTAATGATAATATTATTGATGTTGGTTTTTCATTATTGTTTCATGATTTTGCATCAATACATACTATACTATTTCAATGCATCAATTTATTAATTATATTATATGTTCATTTATTCAGCATTTTTTCTTTATGATGTTGCATAAATGGTATGAATTATTAAATAATAATATAATAATTTTTAACAATTATATACTGATGTACCAGTATTAATTTTGCATTATTTTTCTCATCAGTACTTGAGACCCTTGTTGTTGTTTTTTTTTTGTTTGTTTTTTTGTCTTTCATTCATTTATATAAAAATCAGACATTCATGATGCTTTTTGTAAGGGTAAAGAGACTAAATATTTGTAAATGATTAATATAATTAATGTTAGTTAATTTGATTATTAACATTATTATTATTATTATTATTATTTGGATAAGTCCATTTAATGAAGCAGCAGCTTGTCTGAATAATATTGGACAAACTCGAAGGCAGCCATGTGATAGAGAGATTAAAACTGATTCCCTTCAGAATGTCTTGGCCCATAGACGTCCATTAGAAATTCATTAGTGTAAACATGATTTCTGCTCGTTTTTAGAAACGGTGGGATTATTTTCTGTAGTAGCTGACGACGTGTCTCAGACGCCATCGATAGAGGTTAAGTTGTATTTAACCTGGAATATTCCTGCAGTACTGGACCGTTCACTGTTCATCAATAATATACTCACACTCACGCTCCGGAAGGTTAAGCTAATAAACGTGACCCCTCTCACTCTCACTCGTTGTGTGAAAGGTCCCCTTGTTGTTGTTTTTTTTTGTTTGTTTTTTTGTCTTTCATTCATTTATATAAAAATCAGACATTCATGATGCTTTTTGTAAGGGTAAAGAGACTAAATATTTGTAAATGATTAATATAATTAATGTTAGTTAATTTGATTATTAACAATATATCGGTATCTATTTAGCATTCTTTTTCTCATGCTATTGCATCAGTACTTAATTTCTTCATTGTTTCTATTTATTTTTATTTATTTAATAATCTGACACCCAGATTATTATTATTTTTATTATTAATTTTTTATAATAGTATTTTTATTTTTCGACGTGTCTCAGACGCCATCGATAGAGGTTAAGTTGTATTTAACCTGGAATATTCCTGCAGTACTGGACCGTTCACTGTTCATCAATAATATACTCACACTCACGCTCCGGAAGGTTAAGCTAATAAACGTGACCCCTCTCACTCTCACTCGTTGTGTGAAAGGTCCCAGCTTGGTCTTTAAGCCCCATTATTAAGAGAGTTAATCATCTGAACCACCACCGGACCCTTTGGCACCTGAGAGGAGAGACGATGAGAAGAGCACTGGAGAACAGCCAGAGAAAGAGAAAGCTTTCAAAGGACTTATTCTACACTTCAGGAGCATTTAATTTTTCCCTTATAACTTTAGTCAAGTTTTCTTATAACATAATTCAGTTTTCCATGATGATTTTCCACGTTCTTTCTGACCTTTACATACTTTATGTTTGGGTGGAAGAAAAAAAAATAGATTGTGCATTGATTCTAAAACTTCATTGCGCAGGATGTGAGAAACGAGTGCTTTGACTGTGTTAAGCTTCAGTGTTTTCTTTTCCAAATTAATGCTTTTTGTTCATACACATATTATTTCATTTCATTTATTCACTCATTTGTTCGTTCATAGATTCATTCCTTTTCTCATTCATTTATTCATATATTCATTCCTTCATTCTTGTTTATTCATTTGTTTGTTCATTTGTTCATAGATTAATTTCTTCATTCTTGTTTGTTTGTTCATTCGTTCATAGATTAATTCCTTCATGTTTGTTTGTTCATTTGTTCATAGATTCATTCCTTCATTCTTGTTTGTTTGTTCATTCATTCATAGATTCATTCCTTCATTCTTGTTTGTTTGTTCATTCGTTCATAGATTCATTCCTTCATTCTTGTTTGTTTGTTCATTCGTTCATAGATTCATTCCTTCATTCTTGTTTGTTTGTTCATTCGTTCATAGATTAATTCCTTCATTCTTGTTTGTTTGTTCATTTGTTCATAGATTCATTCCTTCATTCTTGTTTGTTTGTTCATTCGTTCATAGATTCATTCCTTCATTCTTGTTTGTTTATTCATTCGTTCATAGATTCATTCATTCATTCTTGTTTGTTCATTAGTTTGTTCAGTTGTTCATAGATTCATTCCTTCATTCTTGTTTGTTTATTCATTCGTTCATAGATTCATTCATTCATTCTTGTTTGTTCATTAGTTTGTTCAGTTGTTCATAGATTCATTCCTTCATTCTTGTTTGTTTTTTTCATTCGTTCATAGATTCATTCATTCATTCTTGTTTCTTCATTAGTTTGTTCATTCGTTCATAGATTCATTCCTTCATTCTTGTTTGTTCAGTTGTTCATAGATTAATTCCTTCATTCTTGTTTGTTCATTAGTTTGTTCAGTTGTTCATAGATTCATTCCTTCATTCTTGTTTGTTTGTTCATTCGTTCATAGATTCATTCCTTCATTCTTGTTTGTTTGTTCATTCGTTCATAGATTCATTCATTCATTCTTGTTTGTTCATTAGTTTGTTCAGTTGTTCATAGATTCATTCCTTCATTCTTGTTTGTTTTTTTCATTCGTTCATAGATTCATTCATTCATTCTTGTTTGTTCATTAGTTTGTTCAGTTGTTCATAGATTCATTCCTTCATTCTTGTTTGTTTTTTTCATTCGTTCATAGATTCATTCATTCATTCTTGTTTGTTCATTAGTTTGTTCAGTTGTTCATAGATTCATTCCTTCATTCTTGTTTGTTTGTTCATTCGTTCATAGATTCATTCCTTCATTCTTGTTTGTTCATTAGTTTGTTCAGTTGTTCATAGATTTATTCCTTCATTCTTGTTTGTTTGTTCATTCGTTCATAGATTCATTCCTTCATTCTTGTTTGTTCATTAGTTTGTTCAGTTGTTCATAGATTAATTCCTTCATTCTTGTTTGTTTGTTCATTTGTTCATAGATTCATTCCTTCATTCTTGTTTGTTTGTTCATTCATTCATAGATTCATTCCTTCATTCTTGTTTGTTTATTCATTCGTTCATAGATTCATTCAT